GGCTGCTGTTGTCATGACAACACACACAAACAGGTGAGGCTGCTGTCGTCATGGCAACACATACACAGAAGTGAGGCTGCTGTCGTCATGGCAAACTCCCCTCCCCCCCACACACAGGTGAGGCTGCTGTTGTCATGGCAACACACACTGATTTGGCTGCTGTCATCATGGCAACACACATACATGCAGGTGAGGCTGCTGTCATCATGGCAACACACACATAGGTGAGGGTCATAGAGACAAACTTTGACCTAAAAGATTTTCACCTATAGTTCAGCTTAAAAAGGAATCCAACCTCAGGTCAGTCAGAAGTCAGAGTTCAGGTTTCCTCAGGATGTTTTAATGTTTCTAAAATATTTTATATGATCTCAAATGTATTGTCATTATGAGAGAATCATCAACATAACGATGGACTGTGTGGACCATCATACATCAAAACACAAATATTGTTTTACTGCTAAGGACAGGTGGACCAGGACACTTCAGGCCAGATCCTGGGGCCACGAGAACGAGATGTAACGAGATTTTAACTATATATTAAAAATGATATTTTTTCACAAACTCCACCTGCGTAAATCACTAAAATTAGAAACATATTGTCTAAAAATGTTGCAGAAAAACTGGTCCGTGCATTTATCACGTCTATGCAGGACTGTTGTAATGGTTTATCATCTGGGTGTCCAAAAACTTCTTTAAAAAGTCTTCAGTTGATCTAAAATGCTGCTGCCAGAGTTTTAGTAGCAGAGATCACATCTCTCCAGTTTTAGCTTCTCTCCATTGGCTCCCTGTCAAATTCAGAATAAAATTCAAAATCTTACTTCTAACATACAAAGCTCCATCTTATATTCCAGATCTTATTGTTCCATATTTTCCTAACAGAGCACTTTGCTCTCAGACTGCAGGTTTACTTGCGGTTCCTAGAGTTTCCAAAAACAGAATGGGAGGCAGAGCTTTCAGTTATCAGGCTCCTCTCTTGTGGAACCAACTTCCAGTTTCTGTCTGTGAGGCTGACACATTGTCTACTTTTAAGATTAGGATTAAGTCTTTCCTTTTTGATAAATCCTATAGTTAGGGTCAGCTTGGGGTTTCCTGAGCTATCTCTTATTTATGCTGCCATAGGCTTAGACTACTGGAGGACAAGTTGACCACATTTCCTCTCTCTCCTGCTGTCTTTACTTGCTCTACTCTCCCTGTTTGTATTTGTAATTATTTCTATCTTAACTTGTTTTTTGTCTTTCCTCCTATAGAAAATCTGGACCTGTCATTCTGTGTTTGTTTGTTTCTACTTTCTGTCCTCTCAAATCCAGCCGGTCGAAGCAGATGGTTGCTCGTCCTGAGCCTGGTTCTGATGGAGGTTTCTTCCTGTTCAAATGTAGTTTTTCCTTTCCACTGTCTCCTTTGTGCTTGCTCAGGATGGGAGACTGAGACAAAGTGAAGATTCAACACAATCTGCTGCTTCCTTAGATAGAGAACTCTGACTAATTTGCTTTTACATGTATGTAAATGTTTTTTCTACAGTGAACTGAGACAACTTCTGTTGTGATTTGGAGCTACAGAAATAAACAAAATTGAATTGAACTCTTGTCTGAGGCTCGTGTTGGAGGTTGGACCCAGGACTAGAGAAAGACCAAGGAGCTCGAGAAAAACTTCAAGTTGAAGAATTAACAAACAAAAACAAGAGGCTGCAAAAATTATACTTTAGCAAAACCAGAGGAGACCTGAATGATGTGAAGCAAAAAAGCTGAGCGAGTTTAAAGGTGGTGCTGATGAGGAGTGGAGATACCTGAGCAAAATGGCATCAGGTGATAATGGGCTCTGAAATGCTCAGGACATTAGAGTGAAACTCCTTGATGTGCTTTTATTAGCTTCCTCACAGACAAGTGTTGCTCACACTGATGATTCACCCCCATCCACTTTCCATGAGCTCCACTCGGCCCTACTGGGGTCGACCCAGCTCGGCTTCAGAGTCTTTCCATTGGGTGGTCCCCCCATCTTCAGCTCGGTTCTTAGAACCTCTTCGGTCAAGTTTCCAGTCGAGCCGAGTGGAGCTGAAGATCTGACATCAGCAGGCTGAAGGACGCTAATTGGACAGAAAGAGAGCATCTCCTTCACGAGAATCAAACCACCGTCTTCAAACCTCAGAACTATTAAAATGTCACCAGGTGACCCAACACAATGGTTCTGTGAGGCTTGTTGGTTGATGGCAGAGTCCAGAGTCGGTCCAAATGGACTGGACTTATGGCTCTGAGTCTCTGATGAGCGGAGGGAAGGAGGCTTGGACTCAGAAACCATGGCAATCAGTCCTCACGTCATGTTTGAACGTAAAATTAAATTATATTTTAAAAACCACACAACGGCACCGAACCGAGTGAGTGGGTCTTGGTGGGACCGGGCAATGCAGAAACGGGGTTTTCAGCCAGACCTGATTGTGAACGAAGCACAGGTACACACACCTTTTTAAAATGCTGCGTTACAAGAGACAACCAGAACCCTCAGGAAGGTTTCAAGACGATCAAATGTTCGGCCCGATGAGACCTGTTCAGGTTGAACAGAACCTGTCTGAGGTGGTGGTCTCTGTTCCACCTGCAGAACACCCTCAACCCTCAGAGTCTGTGTTGGAATGATGGTCAGCTACTACCGCCCAGAGTCAAAGTTATTTTTGTTTCAGACACTTAAACTCTTCAAATTATAGACCGAGTTCCTCTTCTTCCTCTCACTGAAGGAAGTCGAGGCCAGCAGGAACTGGTTTATGGGAGCGGCCATGTTGGCTCTGATGTGAGCCATATTAGGCCCCGCCCACTCAGTCATGGTGTCACATGACCTTTCTGTGAGGTGTAAGGTAATAATTACGAACCAACAGCAGAGGAGGGGGCAGGGCTTAGAACTGGGACCAGTCCAGTGTTCAGTGGTTCACGAGATATTTTACTGACAGACAAACATTCACATGATTGCCCACCTTTTATTACGGCCAGATTAATTGATGTCCAACATCACGGTGGACAGGACACCTGGTTGGACATTCAGACTAAAAACAAATAAATAATAAATATTAAACCTGCTGTCAGAAGGTCTCAGGTGGGTTTTAATAAAATAACTTCAGACGGGTCTAGACCTGACTGCTATGTCTTTTATTTTATAGATTTGTTTTTTGTTTTTTTCATTCATTCAACTTTATTTATACAGGTTAGTTCCCATTGAGCTTCAGGGACTCATTTACAAGAGAGACCTGTTACATTCAACATGCAGAGTAGATGAGGAAAAGAGAACACAAGGGTGGAGGAAGTTTAAAAAAATCATGTCTCACACCATGTCCTGGCCGGGGCACAGTGTGAAAGATGAAAAAAAAAAGACCTCGCAACATAAACAGCAACATACAATAACATCATAATACATTTATGCGTAGAAGGTCAACAATGGTGGTGAGCTGTCCATGGACACTCCAGAAAGTTCCCAAGTTCTGAAAAGATGGTACAGTGTCTATCAGCGGCACAATTCTGATAAGACAGCAGATGTCGTTCGGAGGAGGGGAGGGGGTGCAGGCAGAGCTTCTTCGTTTATGCATCCTCCAGAAGCAATCTGAGATAAGTTATCTTATCCGAGGCCAGCGGGGAGGCCAAATTCAGATAAACAATTGTTTAGGGCAGGCAGACTCTACTGACATGTCTGCCTTCAGTTCTGCTGGTACACTCAATGTCAAATCCAAACAACCAGATCCGTCAACATTCCACCACTCCGTGCTTGTTAGTCTTCTCCAAGGTCGAATCCTTCATGCCGGCGAGTCCTAGGAGCTGCAAGTGGCCCACAATTCTCAGAAATCGCATCCAACTTACGGTTCATCTCACAAAGTATAATAGTGTGAGAGCTTGAAGCGTGGAGTAATCCTTCATATAAGGCTGGCAGCTTTACTATTGCCAAAACTGCTGCCGACGTCTTCCTTATTAGCCGATAACCCAGGTATCAGCTGATTCCAAAAAGCAGAAACCTTGTTATCATAAATCCAATTATATATGCGTCTTCTACGGCCTCAACAGACAGCACAGACAGGAACATCATCTTCCAAGCACCCCAGGAATCCATGACATATCCAGCTGCGTGTGTCCCTTCAGGGCATGAGGGCTCTCCTGCACCCTGTCTTCTGGTAGAAATTTTTTTTATCACTTGCATTGAGAGACCAGCTGACCAGATCCATAATAATTTTCGATTCTGAAGATGTGTAAAGAGAGGCTCTGAGGAGGTTCACAGAACAAGAGAGTAAAAAAGCAGGAGGGGGGAGCGGGTGAAAGCGACCGTCTTCGTCGAGAGTGAAAGAGAGAATGTTGCTGTTTGTTTTTCCCCATGTTGTTCTCTCTTGCATGTCTTTAGTCAGTCCAGCCCACCGTTGTTTAGTAACCAGTCCGGCTGCAGGACCTGAACACCTGGTTCTGACCGGTCCATCGTCCTGTTTGTTGACATGCCTGCTGCCTGTTTGCTCAGTTGTTTGTTTGTTTACACCTGTTTTTCAGTCTGCACTCCTGGGTCTTAGTTTTCATATCCTCGACAGAGACGTTGAAGAATCTGATCATTTTAACGATAACGTTCTAAAACGGATCAGAACCAACGGTCTTATGACGTGTCCATGCTTCAGTTGGTTCCTCTGTGGGTTTCAAACCGGCATCCTCTTCATCTAAAGAGGAAGAGGAGCGACTGCAGGCTGTTTGTTTCTGAGGAGCAATCCAGACTTTTTACTGCAGA